CATGTTTCTTATTCTCTATATTCACTCCACGTTATATATGAGATCAGGTATTTGCACGAAAAAGGGCCGAAAATATGCCCCTATATTAGACGAATTTTTTTATTTTACTATTCAAGGTGACACGAAAGTACTCTCCCATTTTCAATGAATGCGCAACTTTTTACCAACCGTTTATCAATTAGTCCATGAGTACATTAACACATAAAACAAACGATATATCAATAAGTTAGTATTGAGCAAAATTCTTATCTGCTTTTTCCACCCTATCTATCTAATAATTTTGTTTTCGACCCTGACCTCCTATCAAACTTCCACTTATCCAAACAAAAACAACGGCAATAGTAGTGAAAATGCGATTTCCAGGTGGCATATCAAAAGGAAAGGAGGCGTTCACAGGGAGAGGTGTATTGGAGGACTGACGTTTGGAATAGTTGTTTCCGTCTTCCTATCTTAAGAGACTGGGAACTTATGCGCACAGCTCCCCCTAAATGGCGCACTTTGTTTGATGCGTGGCCCGTCAATGGCGCCTGTGTGTCTGCATGCGACACGTTTTTCACCGTGACCTGACTTGCTCTCGCTCTCGTCTTCCGCGGATGTAGTTGACGGCCCTGATTTTCTTGCGCCGTGATTGTCCCACGTTAAGAACAACGCGCTATTAAAGTGTCTGTGCAATTTCCTTACGCTTATTGGTTAAATTTGAGCTTTTCTTTAAGTTTTATGTGGACGAACAACCAATGTCATGTTTCATAATGACCTCGAAGACCCAAAAGTTTGTCCTTGTGGCTTGCGTCCTGGAGTGTTATTTGCCATGGTTGATGCAAGTGTATTTTGCTTACTTTATCAATGTTCAGTTTAGTTACAGTGATTGCAAACTACAGGATCAGGATGAGATATATTCATATGCTTTAAAATTCCTATTCATTGACGTTTCGTAACAGCATTAAAAACCAATCTGGTGACAGTCACTTTTAAAGATATAATACTTCAAATATCATAGCTACCAACCAGAGCCGAATCCGTATTCAGAGAGATTTAATTTGGCAAAATGACCGCAAGAAAAATCTTTGAGGCCAATTTTAGTCGCTTCTTTTCGAAATAGTTTTGGCTCTATTGTATGCGGAATGGTAATGATTAAAACTATCTTAAATACGAACGGAACTTCTGTCATTTTACGTGCGCATTTAATAGACCGCACCACATGATTTATATACTAAATCCGCTGAAAGACATCAGAAATTCAAAGCCCACCAGAAATCGCATCAACCCATGTTTTGAAGGCCATTAATGCAGATTTCATCCTTTACATAAAAGGGTTGCCATTACCACAAAACGAAAAATGTGCTTTTGCCAAACGACGTTAATAATAAAAAACAACTATAAGTTCTCTCCTTCCTCTGGGGCTTTGCGGCCTTGCACGTATGTTTTGATCCAATTGGCCACTATATTACCTAAAGCCGGTGGTATGCAAAGAGCAGCAGAGACGATCACGCAGGTCTGCGGTGTTTGAACCTTTGCTTGCTTATTTGGCCTTCGCGTGCACTGTCTATCGGCTTAAGTAAGAATTACATGCGGACTCTTGAAAATGTCTCTGCTAGGACCAGAATCTCTTAGATTACCGAAATGCATGCCGTATCTCGTAAAATACTTGTTTATGCTCGGGGGGTACTTTCCGCTGAGGAAATCACGATTGCCAATTATGGCACATACTCGTGTCTGTTGACTTGAAATCATTTAGACAGACTTCTAGCCACTCAGCTCTTTCAGGATATCTGTGTTTTCATATGTGTGGCGTTTAATAGATATATTTTTCAAGCCAAAATATGATTTAATAAAGTAAGCAGTTACTTTATGTGGCGGTCTTCCAATAAGTGAACAATTAGTTGATTTTCTGCCTGTCGTCACATACATAGACTGCCAGTTTTATCATAGCGTTCCATCTGCAATAGCTTTAAAGTTTTAAACTTTAACAAAGACGATTATCAAGCTGTTATGAGGCGTTGTCCCTCTAATGTGAATGAATTTACCAAATGTACAAAACAAAATCGAAGGTTTTATAATTTTATTATTAATTTCATCCTTCAGATGCACTAACCTCAAGTTAAAAGCCCGTAACGGTTACTATGCTTTATTAAACGTTTTCGCTCCTTCTTGGAAAACAATGACTCTGGCAGTGCTTCACAACTACGTGTTTTCTTCGAAAGCAGGTTAAATATTGCATAGTTTGAGATAGCCACACGCGCTTATCCTCGACCTTTTCTTGCTCGCCAGATTAAAATAATGTCTTAGCCGGTTAGCTTTGTAATCAGCGTAAAAGCATAGTTATTTATTATTAACTGCCAAATATTTTTCAACTGAAATAAATTGTAAAAAACGTTGTTGAAACTCGAGATAACTTCGGCAACTCGACGGAGTGAACCGGCTGTAACGACATTCTTAACTGTCAACATTTTTCTTTGTTGTCGGCTTATAAGAATATGTTTCCAAAAGAAACATATTCTTACTAAACATTCCCTGGTTTTGGTTTCTTTATCTATAATTTCATACTTATACTTCCTAAACCAGTTTTTTATACACTGGTTACAGCACCCGCACTAACATCACGAATAAAACAATCGCTTTTTCTCGGCCGAGTTCACTCGATTATTGCGCTATCGGTAAACGGGTTTCGATCGACAACAGTAAGGTTACTATGTATGATGCACACCTCAGAGTAATGTTTATTAACTTCTGCAGAGCTTTTTCAATGGGATGCACGTCTATCAATGTAATCATAACAAACGTTTGGCGCTTGTGAGTCGATGAAGTCCGAGAACGATTTACACTGTTGGTAGATGGTAGAATATTTTATTTTTCGAAAAAGTTTAAACGTTTGGCAAATAGTGCCCATTCGGTTTAAGATCTTTTGAGCATGTTTAACAGGACGGCATCTTGTGACTTAGGTCTTAAACTTTTGGATAGGCGTTTGTAAACTGTAAAAGTTGGATTGTCATTGATGAGAATATAATTCCTCCTGATCGACGCACGATGGTTATAACCTCAGTACTGGCGTATTTCACCAGGTGCAGGATAGTGTCTCTCCGAATTTACAAGTACATTTCGATGATTTTGGTAGCAGTTAAAACGGCTCTTTCTAAACTTATTTCAAGTTGGTGAAATGTTTTGCCTTTTGTCTCCACCCATGCATTGTGATGAGCAACGTCAGCTACTGTGTTCTATCCACATTTCGTGGTCTGTTAAATTTTGCTAAATAAATTATTTTTTCTTAAGAAAAAGAAATATTAAACCCTGCTTGTATTGAAGAATATGATGAACTTCGTTTCAATTGCCCACAAATAATTTGCTGAACTTTTCACCTTTTCAATCTGCTTTACCTGCCTAAAACGGTCTGTACGTAACGCTCAAATATGCGGTCGTTTTGAAATATGAATGATAATTTCCATTTTATAAATTATCTTAATAGGTCGCTATTGATAGTAGAATGGGTTTCATGATCGCTTACAAATAAAGCGGCTAACACTTCAATAGACTATATTTTAAACCTTGATCATGTTGTACATTCGTTTAGTGTTCTTTGCCAAATCATATGGGATTTCGGGCGTTTAATGTTGCTATTTGGTTAGGCTTGGGTGCGTATAGTTAACTTACATAACTTTGAATTTGTTTTCTTTCTTTCAAAAAAGGGCACTTGAGTATATAACCGAAAGCGAAATAACTAGTAAGGATATTTAAAGCAGTCCTTGCTCCTCATAATCGTGCTTAACATGTACTCAGTCTTGTACTTAGAAATAACATCGTTTCGCATAAGATAAATCCTACGTTAATCGATTGTCCCCTGCAACCAGACTACCGTCTCAGGCTCTTCAGAACACCTTAAGCTTAACGACTTTTATGAGTTTGTAGAAAGGCCATCTTGCATTGATTTTACTCTCACAAAATGAGCGCAGCACGCGATCCCAAATTACAGAAATAACCTTAAGTGCAAAAGAAGGATCATCCATATTTCCACATAAATCTGTTTAAATCGGTTTAGCATGCAATGCAATTCAAAGCCTTGGCCATTCACATGCCTTTTTGTTGTTAATTACAAATCACTAACTGGGCCTTACGATGCCGAACTTGCAACCATATATGAGATACAAAGTGATAACTGAATATAGCTATTTAGATAGACCAATCCAAAATGTGCATTGGTCCTCTAAGTATAGCGCATATAGCATGCATACAGTGCTTTCGTCCGTCATTCGCCATTGACATGAATCGACAGACAGATTCCATCAAATGAGCACTGAAAACTGGAACTTTCGTCATATCCGATGCACTAGTCTTCATAGACATCATTGCGGTCGTATTTTATGATCATTTTACGAATCTGTTTCTCGCATTACACAATCGCATCGTTAAGTAATCACTTCGAAGCCATTTTGGTCTTATCCTCTAGTTCTCTAGAATAAAAATTCGAAGCCTGTAAATGCTTTTAAGATATATTGTTCTTCGTTCTGTCTAAGGTCATAAGAATTTGTAATAAAATGCTTAGGCTCTGTATTTAATGGTCCTAGGGTGTGTTGGCTAAACTGTAATTCGGACGGTACCTATTCAGATAATTAATAGTGTATTAAAGAGTTATGACGGCGATTACACCATCGCATGCGGTCGATTGGCGAGTGAGCACTGGAGACGAGCTGTTGTAACCTCAGTTGACCGGACAATTTTGGAGTTTCCGGTTGGCTGTTTTCTGGCCTTGGACTGCTCTGGGATGGCGTCTGGCGGTGTCCAATCAAAAATCTCGCCAAGCAAGAATACGCGATGCCTGACTTGAGCAGCGTTCATGACAGGACCACGTACGCACGCATACGCCCAATACACCATCTGCATAGGTTCTAGGTGCCTTTGCGGACGATATTTGCGCAGTGTTTTTGGGGTTTGTGAAAGCCAGTCTAACTTGCCTGTTTCTGAAACCCGTGGCATGAAATAGCGAGGTCATTTCACTGTAATTAACTGAAATGGCTAGCTTCATTGCCAAACAACTTATAGGAAATCAGCTCGAATCGGTTAAAGGTAAGTCAAAGCTGGAAGCGGGCAATCTCAAATTTGTCCTCTAACATATTTAAAATGTTTCCTCCCGTGCCTTAGTTAGTATAAGTTGGTTTTTGAAGACCTACTTGTTTGCTTGCAATAAAAGAGCTTACTAAATATCTAAAACAGATTTACGGAAGAAGTCAGTTAAGTCAGTTATGCTGATAGTTGTACTAAATCTTCTGATAATTTAGAACAAGAAAAACAACAACATTTTCTTACTCCTGATACATTTAAATGCATATTATTTAGTAATCTATGTCCTGACCACTGAAATGTAACATGCATTGAATGCTTTTACTACCGGAAGTTCAAAATCGTTTAAATTCTTTTCGTCGAAATGACAAAGAATAGTTGACGGTTGCAAATATAGACTAATTTGCCGATAGGTTTATTACCCCCATACCGACATAATTTGGGCCTTATTTAAAGGAACAACAAGCATTAATCAGTGTTCACGTTAGTGACCGTTGTACGTTGACCCTGCGCCTGCGAATATACAAATTAATTTTGCTTGCACAGCCTGAAGCGTTTATATTATATGATCCTTCCATTAAACTTCTGAAAAGGAGCCCTTGGAGATAAAAAGGATGAGGGGGGATCTTCGGGAGCAAAGCAACTTGATCCCGAAGTAGAGGAGGCATTGCGAGAGGCTGAACAACGACGCCAAGAAAAACATCGAAAAATGGAAGAGGAGCGCGAAGTAATGCGTCAAGACATACGAGACAAGGTGAGATTTCAAAAACTTACTAAAAGCAAACAAATGCCCACTATATCTGCATATAATTTTCTCGCTTACAGCACTCCCCCATCTTAAGCTGAGCAGTTAAATAAAATGGATGGAACCACATGTATATCCCTCACCTTTTTTTACCAGCAAAGCCCGCTTCTTTATCTATTGGAGCCTGTTTTTGGGCTTTGAACACCTCTCATTACAAACGCCTGACGAAAGTGAGCAATAATTCAGCTTTTAGTCCACTAACGATTCGAATTTATGCTATTTAGGGAAAGTGTTCTTATTTGTCTGCTTTGATAACACAGATGCTGTTAACTTAGATGAGGAGCGGTTTAGACAAAATAAATCCGCCCGTCTCTAAGACTCAGGTCTCAAAGATGAAAATTTCTAAAATTTCAACACGAGCGGAGGATTTTGATTTTTTAAAATGTGGAGCAGTGAGCGAAAAAATATTTAACTAAACGCAGCTGCAAGTGGCAAGTCTTAGGAATTTCTGACGGATATTTTTTCCGAAATGCAGCGCATTCTGTCCAATCCGCCTGAAAAACACGTGACAGTGATTCCTGAAAAGCCCTTTTTGTACTATTATGTTTGAATTTTATATATATATATATATTTATATTTTCTCATATCTATGTTGCAACATGGTATTTAAAGTACGGAATAAAAAAGAAGGAGGAAGAAATAAATTTTGACGAAATAATGATGTGCAATGAGGGGAGGCTTGGAAGAAAACGCAAAACACCGGCTGAACTGGCAGCAGAAGCAGACAAAGCAGCGGAGGGCGAGGACTCGATATTAGGTAAGCTTACTGACGGTATATTCGAACTGGAACATTAAATCAGATTCTACTTTCACGCCAGGATTCCTAACTTTGCAAGTGTTCTCTTTCTTTGTCCTTTATACGAAACGAAAACCTTGCATGCAACCACCAAACAGTAAACTAGCGCAAAGGCGGAAGAGACTGTGAATTCCTCATGACTTTCACTCAGATTCTAATTAATTGTACGTCTCACGGTGGCTTGCATAACTTGCGAAACATACGTCTTTAAAAACCCAGGTTCACACGACAATACAGTCGGAGGTGGACTTAGTTTAATCAAGGATTAGCGGGGAGGAGACCGCGAGGAATGTGGGTAAACTGTTACCAAACTGTTTTGGGCTTATTCTGTCATGACTCATCCAGTCATAAATCTAACCACCAATTGGGACCTAAATAAAATGATCTATAGAGGGAGTCTATCAGATGAAACGTCGCACTTTTTCAAAAAAAAAACGTAATTAATACCTCGGCACCCACCAAATTTCCTCACTGCAGATCGACTATTTATTCAGTGATAATGGACACACAAGGTGACCTAAATTTGCTATCATATCTTGATTTGCTGGAGACACGTCTGCTTATGAACTGATTTATACAAAGGGAGTTAGGCACCTTACCATGCCCTCTATGGACATTGTTTACAGTTAACAAATTTAGATCTCTAATGGTATTACGTAGTTTAGCTGCTTGAAATGTCTAAGATTGTTGTCAAAAGCTGAAAGACAATTGCCTTTTGCAAGTTGTAACTGGTGTACACGTGTGTTTTTGATGTTACCTGATGAAATAACATGCAAAGATGTGAATTAGTGAATTTTCACAGTTATAATAATTTCGAAGTAGAAGCCAGCAAACTTTTGGATTTGGTGTCTGGTTATTAAAACAAGTCTTTGTGAATGAATGATTCAGGCGTATTTCTGTCCCCTGCCATTGAAGGAATGTATAGGCGCAGATATAAACTATTTAGGCCGTTTACAAGAGCCGTGACATTTCTGCATCGATGAAGAAGTCGATCCAACCGCTTTCCAATAAGTTACATAATGCGTAGATTCCCGGTAAGCTTATTCTTGGATGTGAATCGTTTTCTTTGCTTAGATGTCGCCGTGCATCTAAGAAGCGTTTAACATGTACTACTGTAAAACCTCTAATTTTGTATTGAAAAATTAGTTGTTTTTTGTATTACCACTAGAAAACAGTCAACAGGTGTTTCAATTACACGAAGTAAGTAAGTGTAAGTTAGTAAGTGCGATCATCGTTTATGCTCTTTGGTGGCAATTTTAAAGTGTGGAAATAGAATGTCCTTTTTAATATTGATCCGTCATCGGGCAAAGCCCTATCACCTTAAACGTTGTTCAAGAGTACGAATAACTAAATGGACTACTATTCGCCTGGTTAATATATATTTGCAAAGCAAGCTACAGCAAAAGGATGTTGGGTATATTTGCAGACATGAAATCTTCTCATTGTGCACATGTTGATCTATGTTCCATTTAGTTTGTGAAAATGGCGTTTTACAATTCAATTATTACATTGTGTACCCAATTTGCGATCTACATTTAAATATGCATATGTTTTGTCAAGCAATTAGAAAATTTATGGCATATTTGGTTCAAACTAAGGAATGCGAAGTCACAACAATAAACCATATAAGCAGAAAAAGGGTGAAATATGGTGAGAGGTGCACAACTAAATGGCATAAGTGGCCAGCACTTTAAAGGAGGCTAATAAATATCTCGTCAAACTCTTCCACCTTGAGGTTGGTTGTCTCTGAATGACAAATGGGTTTAGCGTAAACGTTGCTTTTAAATGTTTGTAAGCAGTGTTGTTTACAACACGTACAAGCATTATTTGTCGATGGGTACCTGCAGGCAAGTGCACATGCCTTGTAGTCAGAACTGTAGTTAGTTACTGGAGTCGAAAAAGTTAGAAAAATTGTATATTTGTCTTCTCCCTATACGGCTGAATTATTAACTGCTAAAATCTGTTGGTTAAGGGGACTATAAATGTTTGGTGTTTAAAACGGAAGAAAATTCAACATTTTCGCTCGGCAGACCTCCTCTTTTACTATGCAAGGCAACACAATGTTAGGTTGATTGATTGCGAGGACAAAGTTACGTTTTTGTAAACATGCGTTTCATGCTGAACTAACTCTGAAAAACTCGATGACCTCGGTGAGATCCGAACCCACGAACTACAGTCAACGCTCTAGTCGCCTGAGCTACGAAGCCCAACGGAAAGCCATGAGTAGAATAACATATGCATCAAGTTGTCCGCCCAGCCTAACAAAACGCCCCGAATTAACCAAAACTGATACAAAAATGTGACTGCTCAATCAGCATTTTCGAAGTAGTAGTATGCATTTGTAAATTAAGCGAACAGATCTTACCCATATCTTTTCAAACATCTAGGCTTTCTCCCAGAAAACGTCCGTGGAATCGCCAACAAAGTCACCGAAACTCCGTCAAAGCTTATAACAGAGGCCTCGGAGAAATGTTCAATATCCTGAAGTCTCCCAGTGGCTGCAGTTATTTACTCCCCTTAGTCCAGAGTGAACCTTATAAATGATATAGTTAGACAAATCAGGTCATTTCGTTCATTTGAATTTCGCGCATTAGCTGCTTTAGCTTTTGTATCAGATCCGACCCGCCCGAAATTCAAAACAGACGCCCGTATTATTAACTTGACTTTAAGTAATTTTTCTCGTCCAAACCATCACAAAGAGTGAATAAGCATAATGCATTGATGGACCATGGAGGTCTCGTCATTTTGTAAAAATAAATATTTATTTCCAAATTCCTTCTAACTTAAGACACAGGGTTATTTCCCAGGTTTGAATTGGACTTTCATGAAAAGCGGCAAAGTGTAATAAACACTGGCTAATCACAACTGAGCAATTAATTATTGATTTTCACTGATAAAATGGCCTAAATTATTTTGCAACAACAAAATTTCTTACGAGGCTCTTTAATCTGACAACAAGTTTCTAAAATCTCACATAGCTGACCGTTCGAAATACGATTCGTACTTAATGCCGTGTAAATGAAGCATGTAAAATTAATTTTAAAATTGAGAGTAACGCAATAAATCACACGAAAGGAGACAACATTTACGAATCTAAATGACACGAAATTATTTAATTCCGAAACTTACGGTCATTCAAACCCACACTAAACCGACGTAAATGGGTGGACTGAAGCACTTTTCTGTTAGCCTACCAAAGCTAAAGGGCTCGTGAAACAAAATATATTGAAGATGAGCGTTTCCATCATCATTAACAATCTGGCCTCGTAAACGATATGGGAAAAATAATAATGTTGTAATTAATGTTTTCCGAATGATAGAGAATACGCGCGGCCCAGGTAATTGCATAGAAGAAGACGGGAAGTCGATCGCTGGGACCAATGGTTTATTTATCCGACGTTTCGAACTCTCACGCGAGCCCATCGTCAAGGAATGAAAAAACTGTACAGCTCGTCGTGTATTTAGCTCACCTCTGCCGGGGGTGACCTCTAGCTGCGCCGTTGATTTGTTCACGCAGTGCCTGATAGGCGATTGGCAGATCGATATGTCGATTAATCGCGTCCTCAGTTGAGTGCCACGCTTCCTGTTTGTATATTTACAGTACTTACTAGTTATATGCGAAATTTGTTTAAATATGCCCTGTTATATCGCCAAGGTGGATATTCACAAAACTTTTAACTTCTCTGCAGAACTTTTTCAAGATAACTAAAAGAAAGTTTTAAATAAAAGCCAATAGATACGCCAGGTGTGAATTTACCTCTTATAAATAAAGTGACGGTAATGACTAGGACTGAGATATTCGGATGTTGAAAGGGAGATTTTAACTTCTGTTAAAAAACGTAGGCGCAGCGACATTTCCGACAAAAGTAATTATTTGTCTGATTGACAATTCTTGAGAACGTGCACTTTTTGGTCGTTAGCCTACAGCAGATGGTTAATTTTCATAAACACCAGTGTGCAAATTATCATCGTTTTCAAGGGCAAATGTTTGCACAAGACCAACTAATAAAATTTAGGAATAAGTGCAAGGAAGGCTGGCGAACATTTTTCAGGTTTTGTCTTTGACATAAATTATTGCATGCTTAATGGATGCTCAGATCGTGCGCAGGCTGAGGTCCATATTTTAATCTTTTCTATTCCCCATGATCTTTCTAGCCGTATGAATCCTGGTTCTGCTTATGATTCAGTCAACTTGTCTTCATTATCCCTTATCCACTCTTGAAGAATGCAGTTGACCCCTGAATCTGGACGTTCATGAAATTCAGATGTCAGCTTTGTTGTAAAAGAACGGTTAGAAATCTATCTACACTTGTAGATAAGAAATATCCGGTCGGTACCACCTTAGGAACGTAAGTTAGATTACACTTATGTAGGTCTCCTGACACCTTCATTAAATATTACAATATGCTGTAGTAGATAACAGAGCTAGTGGCGTTAACAAGAATATGGTTTACTTTGTGCCATTTAACTGACTTCATTTTCCATAAAAGTAGCTAAGAATTAAAGTACAGTGCCGCGCTATAAGCCGATTCTATGCTTACTAGACAGCTTACAACAACTTTAAAATGAAGATCGCAAATGAAAATAAAATATTACTCACAGATTAATTCGGTGGAAGTCAGGACTCACGCTTTAGCCGCTAGCAAACGCCCAGCTCTCTATATGAAGCAATCCTCGGGGATATATGTATGATTTAAACTAAGACCCTGGGGATTTATTTAAAGCCATGCGAGTATATTGAAGCTTTTGCCAGGCCAGTCTCTGGAAAACATGACCTACTTTGTGATAAGCAGGGTCGTGAATAGCGCGTCAACAAGTGTCATAAGGTTATCTTGCGCCCACTCTAGTCATTCGATTAGCACTTGAGTGTCGTGAAAATCGAAATGGGCGGACGTAAGGATTCTTACTGTAAGAAATAGTGTATACGGCAAGCCGTACAAAAGAGTATTGTCTTTGAAGAGAGCTCTGACAAAATCGTTTCTGAAATTTTTTGTGTTTGACAAATATTTATCTGCAGCATCGGATACACGCAGAGCAATTGCTCTTTGAGTTCATTTGCCACTAAAACCTGCAGTGTAGGTGTCACTGGGAACAGACCAGTATCAGCACAGTTTGCGCTGAAAGTCATAGACGCCTACTGGCTTCTTAATACTTACACCAAGCATTGTTCGAAAATGTGCTGATAGATCAAGATATAGATTCCGTTAGCTTTTGATCCTCTTCCAACCGAATAACATTTCTTAGAAAGGAAACACCAAAAATGAGTCTTCTATTATCTTATTTTTATGACTTCTGCCTTTTTTAAATTACGCGATTGGAGAAAAGACGATTTCACTCATTGAGAAATCAAACGGTGGTAAGATGTACCACGCAAGACTATCAGAAATTCATTCTCCACAGAAGTAAGTAATAAAATCAACCTTATTCAACCACTCCAACCAGTCAAGTCGGACCAAGCACCACAGTAAACCTTTATTGGGTTAGGTTGCAAACTGTATGGTAGTAAAGTTTAAGGAAACTGCGTACGACAGCTCAAAGATTTGCATGTAATGTGCACGGATACGTTGTGGACTTTGGTCTTAACATCAAACGACACATTCAGCCAACTGAGTAGATCGGTATTTTTCCGTTAGCTCTGTTATATCAGCACATCAAAACGGCTGGTTTGAAAATGTATTTGCTTAAAATCTTAAATATATAAAGTTTGAGGCAAAGAATAATGCTGCTCTGCAGAAGTAAATGGTCTTCTTTAGCAACGAAACGCCTGACATAAATGCGTTGAATAGTAGCAAAGGCAAAGGAACAGCCTGTTCTCCACGGCACGGCTCTATAAATTCATGCAATATTTGATCCGATTAGCGAGTTCTTGCACATTGCTCAGCAAGTGCTGATGAATACAAACCAAAAACAAACGGAATAATGTGTCGTACAGGTGTCTTACCCCATATTATTAATTCATGTTTCCTAAACTACAGATTTGACTTATCTTCTCTGTACATCTGTAAGTTAGCTCCTCCGAGTAATCTCGCTTTTCTTGTGCAATGCAAATTTTAACAGAATAACCTACCTTTACGAAATTTTTCCATTAAAAACCGTATTATTGCTTAATTGGTTTTGTGGGGATTAGACTCGCGTGCTCTTCTCTAAATCAAAGAATAACTGTAGGCTTTATCAGTGAAATCTGTTAAATTTTACATTAAGCCCAAATTAGTCTAGGGCGTTTACGGAATTTTAGCTGATAGCAAAGTCAATTCAAAAAAGGTGGAGGAAGTTCTAAGTGTGCATTACTGCACGTGACTTATTGTGAAACTAAGCTCCACATAAACGGCAATTTAGGAATGAGCAAAAACGTAAACCAATAAAGAACTTTGTTGTCAGGTAGGAATACAAGCATTTTTCTTCAAGGGCCAAATGAAAGACGGTAACTGACAGAGGGTAAAGCAAACTTTGAACTTATATTTAAGGAAATGTACGGCGTCGATCTGTGGCTCATGGGTTCTGGAACAGACAAATTGCCTGGCTCGCTAGACCTACTTTTACTTCCATGATTTTAATGTCATTTTGAGTGAAATCCACCAACGTCTAAGCTCTTTTAATTGATTCCTTTTAGCTTTATTTAGGCTACAAGAGAAAAAGAGGTGCCCTATCGTTGCAGCGAAACAAACAGAAATATAATGTGTTGACTTTTATTGACTCCGTACACTGGATAAAAAAATAAAAGTATCTACCTAATTATAGTCTCGAGCTTCAAACAGACATTAAAACTGATGATACATAATTTGCAAACAGGATGCCAGTGTCAGCGAGACATTAAGAATCAAGAATTGCCTTCACGATACATATTCTAAAATGCTGGGGCATAATAAACTCCTAGCGCATGCAAAATCTTTTATGACACGTACAGATGTAGATATAATATCAAATGTGACTAGTTGAATCCGTTGTTGCGAATGTGAATTATCAAAGAACTACTCTTATGCAACGACAGGTATACTCACACACATATAATAAGAATAGAGCAGTTATGTAAATATTCTTTGAGATACGAGAGCGTTGAGATATACTTTATGCTCTTCGGAAGTTTATTATTCAAACAGTAACAAGGATTTCATAAGCTTTTGAATGAAGCCCAAATAATTTTACACTGACGATATATGCTGTTTGTTTTCCAGTGTGACCGAGGTCTTAACGCTTAAAGCTTCCTTAGCTGTCCAACAACAATACTGGCAGGCTCAACATCGCGATGTAGTGTATGAGCAGATGTGCATTATAGGCCAAAACACAGGACACTTTCGGTAAAGTTTGTCGGCGTTTTCCACATACTCAGACTGAATATTAAGAAAACGCTCAAAAAGATTCTAAACGCTTTTGGTTTTTTAAGACGTAACTTGAAAATGCGATTATTTTTAGGCCTCCGATCGTGAATACAACGTAGAAATTCCGAATTATATGAATAGCAAAACTGTTAAAGATGCGTCCGCAAAA